ATCCCAGGACCCTGGGATCACGACCTGAGCCGAAGGCAGACGCTTAACGACTGAGCCACCCAGGCGCCCGACCTTACTCATCTTATAGCCAAAAGTTTGTGCCCTTTTATCATATTCTCTCTATTTCCTTCAACCCCCAACCCCCAGCAACCACTTTCTACTCTGTTTCTATGAGTATGACTGTTTTTTTGTTTTTTGTTTTGTTTTGTTTTCTTGGGGTTTTTTTTGTTTGTTTATTTTTTGGTTTTTTTAGATCCCATGTATAAGTGATACCATATGGTATTTTTCTTTCTCTGTGGCTTATTCCACTTAGCATAATGCCCCCTAGGTTTACCATGTTACTACAAAGGACAGGATTTTCTTTTTTTAAAGCCTGGATAATATTTCTGTATATATATCACATTTGTTTGATCCATTCATCTGTTGATTGGCACTTAGGCTGTTTTCATATCTTAGCTATTGTGAATAATGCTGCAATGAATAGAGGAGTATGGATATTTCCAAGATCTGTTTTTTTTTCTTTCAAATATATACCCAGAAGTGTGATTGCTGGATCACATGGCACTTGTTCTACCTTTAATTTCTTCAGTTTCTCTGTACTGTTTTCCATGCTGGCTGTACCAATTTACATTTCCATCAACAGTGCACAAGGATTTCCTTTTCTCCACATCCTCATCAACACTTATTATCTCTTGTCTTTTTGATAATAGCCATCCCAACAGGCATGAGGTGATATCTCATTGTGATCTTCATTTGCATTTCCCTGATAATTAATTATATTGAGCACCTTTCCATGTACGTGTTGACCATTTATATGTCATCTTTTAGAAACATATTTTAATTGGTTCTTTGGTTTTGCTCTTGTTATACTTTGCCTATGTTTTCACCATGCCATTTTTTCTATTTTTTATATAATTTTTTATTTGTACATAAAATGTGTCAATTTATATTTACCAGATTTATCTTTCTTTTAAAACATACCAACTTTGAGTTACACTTAGGAAGACCTTCCCCACTCAGAGGTTATAAAAATATTTCCCTCATGTCTTCTGCCATTTTTATGGTTTTATTTTTTATAGTTAAGTATTGATCCATTTGGAATTTATCCTAGTGTGCAATGGAGTATAAGGATCCAACCATAGTTGTTTTTTTTTTTCCAGATCCCAATTTTCCTAATACCATGTATTAAATGTTCATTTTTCCCCATTGATTTTAAGATGTCATACTTATCATATACTAGATTCCCTAAAACCATCCTTGCTCTCTCCCTTTCTTCTTTAATAGAAAGGTATAGCTCATTCTTCATCAATATACGGATTTATCTGTATTTTTCTCATGGCCCTTTTCACTTGTGGTTTTATATTATAGGTATTTTACATCTGTTTTATTTCTCCTACTAAATATTAAGTTCCTCAGGAGCAAAATTCTTACTAACAGTAGTTAGTAAATAAATGCTTTAGGCAAAAGAAGTAAAGAGAGTTGAAAGCTCTTGTGCTACAGGCTGCTGGCCCAGGACAAAATGGTGCCATGTACCCTGTTCCATTCTTTAAAGTATCATCCCTCCACCTGCACTGAGTTAGGAGTAGATATGGCATCTGTCCAATTCCACCAGCAAGAGTGGTGGAACATGGCCAAAAAATCATAGGCCCTGTGTCCCAAGTTTGGATAGCCTCTCATGTCCTATTGTATCATGCAGAGAGATGTCAAAGCCACCCATCTGTGTTCCATTTCTCCCAGGAGAGATCCCAGACCTCTACTCTGATGATGAAGTCGAAAACATCATAAACAATGTGAGGAATGAAGTCAAGAGCCAAGGTCTTGTTGACAACAGAGAGAACTGTTGGAAGTTTTTTATAAATCGGGTCCGACGACAACTGAAGGTATAGAAGGATTTACGGCCCAGGGTAGGCGGACCAGAGATGGTTCTTAAGAGCCTCTGCTGATATTTTGGACACAGCTGCCCTCATTGATTATACTGGGAGTGGGCAGAGAAGGTGGATTGCCCTTCTTCGCCTGAGCAATTTTGCAAGGCTGCCCTTCTCATCTGCTTCAAGGGCAGTAGCCTCCCTCTTGCCTCATGCAGTCCCAGCATTCTTAATTTCTTGGCTAGAGGCCTGGCTAGTGTTGACAGATTTTTTTCTTCCTCTGTTGGATGTGTTTCCCAACTTCCTGGGAAATAAAGAACCCAAAGCCATATCTCTCTATGAGTATCTCCCTGATACTTTCTTGGTTCTCCCCGCCCTTCTGATTTCTCAGGTGACTCTCTGTTTTTCCCCTGTGGGAAACAAGCTGAGAGTCCGCAGCAGGAAGTTCCCGGCCATTGTGAACTGCACGGCCATCGACTGGTTCCACGAGTGGCCTCGGCAGGCACTGGAGTCCGTCAGCCTCCGCTTCTTACAGAACACAGAAGGCATTGAGGTGAGAGAGCAAAAGAGACACTCTTCAAGTTCCTCTCTACCTCAGGTACAAGGAATTCCATGTCCAGAGTTTTAGGGTTCAAGTTCAGGCTTGGATAGAGTTGTTGGAGCAGAACTTTCCATGTGGTGAGGCCATGAGTAGGGTGGGCTGTCACCTCCAGTCTTCATGTCCAGACAGTCACTTTGTTTCCCACTCTTTGATTTCAGCCCACAGTCAAGCAGTCAATTAGCAAGTTCATGGCTTTTGTGCACACAAGTGTCAACCAGATGTCTCAGTCTTATCTGAGCAATGAGCAGCGCTACAACTACACAACTCCCAAATCATTCCTGGAGTTCATCAGACTCTACCAGAGCTTGCTGCACAGAAATGGAGAAGAGCTCAAGTCCAAAATTGAGCGTCTCGAGAATGGGCTGCTGAAGCTTCACAGCACGTCTGCACAGGTGGGTGATGGTCTAATGTTGCTCCTGCAACATTAGATGAGACCATCTCAGAGCACTGAGAGGGAGTGGGAGCGCTCCATTCCAGGGAACTGGATGGATCACAGTCCAGGCCTGAGAATCATGTATGGTTTTCCAAAAACTCTTCACCAGAAACTGTTCCAAGAGTTAAGGCTGAGCTCTCCCTGAGGAGGGTCACACTCTCAGCTTCAGGTCTGGTCTGCTCCCAGGTGCTGATGATGAAATCCTCTGGAGCACCTCTTCTCTTTTGCTTGTTACCCCTCTCCCCCTCTTCTGCTACCTTCCTTTCCTCTCCAGTCTGCTTCCCTTCCATCTTCAAAACCAAAGAGAAGAATCTATACCAGTTTTTCTTTTATTTCTTTGTATTATCTGTCAAAGCATCATCAGAACCTGATTTCTTAAATCCTGTCTCATTTCTTGCATTTTCTTCATATATTCCCAAGTGGTTGGCCATCGAAAGAAAGTCCCTGTTGTCCTATCCTCGTAATATTTTTCTACTTACTCTTCCAAAGGGAACATGCCTATCAGACATTGCTGATCCCTTGATGGCCCCCTTCTGTGCTCTGTTTGCCCACAGCAGAGTCAGCTGGTGGTGTGGTTTTCCTGCATTTGCACCATTAAACTCAAATTGTGATCAACTTTAATTCTTGGGCATCCCGTGTTCCTGTAGATATCTAAGCCTTTTGCTTTGTCATCATTACAGAGCTTTGCCTTTGACATAACTGTTGAATTTGCTTCTTCTGACTTGTCCTCTCTCCCCACTTTAGTTTCTTGAATCGTAGGTGCAATATGTCTAGAGGATTTCAGCTCATTTATTGGGATGCAGTGAGCCCTTGCAATCTGTTCACATAGAATTTCTTCTGCTTGGGCCATTTTTCTTCTGTTACCTGGTTTCATTCATCTGGTTTGGCCTCTCCTCCAGGAGCAATTTTTGCCAATGGCTTCTCTGTGCCCTGTATCTATTATGTCCTCACTCATTGATCTCATCCTTTTGGCTTTTTTCCCTCTACATTCTAGGAGAGCTTTTCAAGTTTATCCTCAACAATTCTAATTTAATAGTGGGTAACATTGCTTCTGCTTCTTAGGTTTCCAGTGAAGACTCTAATTATGCTCTTACATTTTTAATATCCTAACAGCCCTTCCTCACCTCATCCTTTTCTCCTTCCAGCACATCCTATTGCTTTTTTTATTTCAGCCTGTTTGCCTGCAACCATGACATTGACACCATCCGATGATAGCGGACAGCTCTCTTGATGTTTTTTCTAGATCCGATAGTGTGCCATTTTCAGACCTGTGTCCTTCTTCTTAAGTCTCCTAGATTCTTTTCCCTTCCTTGTTCTGTATTTCTACGAAGACCCTTTTTTAATTTTTCTTTATTTACCCACTGGCATGGTGAGATCTGTTCAAATTCAGTGTTTGTCCACATGTGACATGTGACAATTGTCCATGACACTACTCTGTGTCCGTTTGTGCTGTGACCACACCCCTTCCCAGAGCTACAGTTCAGGGCAGATAGAGGGACACAGATCCCAGCCAAAGCCCTAGCTGTTTACCTGGCATGTACCTTTGTTGTAGAAAGGTAGCATCTTCTCTCCCAACACTTTTCAGTACTCTCAATCTCTGAACTTCTAGAAAACAGCATGTGATAGAATCCCAGAAGGCAGTCCTATCAGATTATTTTTAACATCTGTTGCTTTTTCCTCTTCCTGTCTCCCCCCACCCCACCTACAGTGCCCTCAGAATACTGTCCCCCCAGCAGCACCTGTTCTCCCTCTGGTCACCTATCCTCTGGAAATTATCGATCACCCCAGGAGAAGACTGGTTATACCTTAGGTGAACCCAACTCTGCCTGCACATGGTTAGTGGAGAAACCTCCCCAGTCCCGGCATCAGTTTTGGTTTCTTCTCCTTCAAAATTCTCTACGTCAACAAGTCATGCGTTCATCTACCAGATACCTAGAAACCAGGGAGTTACCTTAGATTCCTCCCCTTGTCTCAGTTAAGAATTAACAAATTCTCTACTTTTTTATGTATCTCTTAAATATACCCCTCTTGCTGTCTCCCTATTTTCAACACTTTGATTTAGGTGTTTAGGTAACACTTATTACCTTGATTATTTCAACACACTGAACTCCACAACATCCCCCCCCATCCTGAACCTGGGTCGCCAACAACTTCTTGCATCGCCCATCAGGCCAAATACTTGGGGTTGTCCCTGACTCTTCTCATTTCTCTCTTTCACACACCTTGTGCCCACACATCAGAAAATCGCTGTTGGCCCTAACTTCAGATATGCCCAGGATCCCACCACTGCGCACCTCCTATGCTGCCACTCCCCTGATCTGGGCCACCGGCGTCTTTAACCCGGGCAACCAGGGTACCTTTCTAGCTCATTTGCCTGCTTCTCCTTTTGCCTCTCTTTGGTCCATCATCAACAGAGTAGCCAGAATGATCCATTCAAAGCATAAGTCAGAGCATGTCACTTTTCTGCCCCAAACCCTGAGATGGCTTCCATTTCCCTCATTAAAATGGCGCCCAGGCTCCTCTCCCACCACACCCTGCAGACTCTCAGACCTCATCTCCTGCTACCCCACTGCCCACGATATTCCTCTCTCTCTGGCCATGCCGCTGCTTTGCTCTCTCCTCAGACAACACCAGGCCTTTGCACTGGCTCTTTCCTCCCCCTGGATGTTCTTCCCTCTCTCATCCTGTGGCTCACTCCCTCATCTCCTCCTCTTTGCTCAAATGTCACCTTCTCATTGAATCCTACTCTGATGACCCCGTTTTCAGTTGCAACCCCACACCACCCCTGCATCCCTTATTCTGCTCTACTTTATCTTTTCCCCATAGCATTTACCCCCATCCAACATGTAATATACTTGTTACCTTTCTTTTTTGGTGTCTGTCTCCATCCGTTAGACATAATCTCCGTAAAGACCAGGATCCTCATCTCTTTGGTTCACCGATGTGTCTAAAGCAGCACTTGGACAGAGTGGGCACTCATTAAATATTTGTTGAATGAATGAATGAATGCATAGCATTCTGCTTAGTATCCCCCACTGTATTCTGGAAGTACTATCCAACAGAAATATCCTGCCAGTCATATATGCAAATTAAATTTTCTAGTAGCTGTATCAAAAGAAGTAAAAGGAAATAAGTGAATTTTATTCTAACCGTATATTTTAATTTTACATAATTATATATTTTAAGAGTACATTTTATTTAAGCCAACACATCCAAAATCTTATTTTAATAGGTAATCAATGTATAAAAATGTTATCAATGAAGTATTTTTTTTTTCTTCAAGTCTTCAAAAACTAGTGTGTGTGGTTATATTTACAGCACATCTCCTGGGGGACAAGCCACATTTTAGGTGCTCATTCACTACATGGGGCTGGTGGCTACCAAACCAGACAACACAGCTCTGGCCCAGCCTCTGTCCTGCTATTGGAGGGATCTTTGCTCAGACCATAAGCTTGAGTCTTCTCTTCTGCAGACTTTAATGTTTTAGATACTACATTGCAGATTCTCTGAACTTCTCTAGAACTTTCAAACTGTATCCTCGCCCATGTGCCACCCTTTCTTCCTCCCACCTACCCCCTTGCAACCCTGGCATCCAGTACTTCCAAATGGTTGTAGTTGCCCCAAATCTCCATAGCTAGTTCACGTCTCCGTGTCTTTATGTGCACCCCCACCCCTTGTCAGCTTGTCACTGTCGATGCCTACACAGTTTGCTACCCCTGCTCCCAGAAGCCCTTTTTAAGCTCTCAGCAGTTGTGCCTTCCAATCTTTGTGGTTCCATCCCTGAACTGTGTTTCTCCTCTTGTGTATTTTCATGCTATACCGTCAGCAATCATATAAGCGCAGAAACCAAGATTCATTGGCACATAGTAGTTCTGTAATTGTGTAGATAAAGGGACATATGGGTAGATGACAGATGGCCAGGCAACCAACCAAATGAGCACGTTCTAAAGTCACCTATAAGCTCAGAGTGGGGGTGGAGGACGGGTCCCCCAATACTGTGTACATGGCGTGTATTTCATACTAATGGATGGTTATAAGGATGATTCTTCTTGTAAAAATGGTATCAGCTTGGCTTCCTAACTCTGTTAAAAACCCTTCATCTGCAATTGTTCCTTGGGTAGAAAAAGCCCTAAGTATATCATCATAATCTTGGTATAAGGGTAATGATTTGAATTATGTGGTATCACTATCCTACTACCCACTTAGGACAGTTTTTGGGATTCATAATCTAGTGGGAGTGGGCTAAATGAATATCACAACTCTGGCTCAGAGGGACTCCAAATTTCTTTAGCAACAATAGCAGTATTAGGAGTAATAATTATACTGGTAAGAGTGATAATAATTAATAATTATATAATCATCTAAAGTTGATAAATTTTAAATATAATTTCATGCTTAGCCTCAAGTGGTCATAAAGGTAACTTTATTTCTCTATAACTGAATTTAACTTAGCTACAGATCCATCTTTTTCATTTAAGAGTAGAAAGTTCTTCTTTTTAATAAAGATTATTTGAGAAAGAGAGAGAGAGTGCATGGGTGGGGGTGAGGGGCAGAGAGAGAGGGGAAGCAGACTCCCCACTGAGCATGGAGCCCAGCATAGAGCTCAGTCCCATGACCCTGAGATCACGACCTGAGCCAAAACCAAGACCTGGACACTCAACCGACTGAGCCACCCAGGTGCCCCAAGAGTAGAGAGTTCTTAATCTTGCATTTCAGGTTGCCTTGGTCACTTCAAGTTAAAAGCTCAGTCTCTGGAGGGCAGTCAGTTCAGAGTCTAACTCTACCTCGGGGCTGTTTCCCTGTGAAGGGTCATTTGCTCCTTCCCATCTGGGTGGTGGTGGTGGTGGTTTCAAGAGGCAGCTGGTGAAGTCACATGGGTCTTTGGGCAGCATCAACTGTCTTTGCTCCTGCTTCAGATGAGAGCTTCACCGCTGGCGTCCCTTCTGTTCTGTTCTTCTCTTGGCACAGTCAGAACTCCCAACTCTGACTTGGGGTCTCACTCTGTCACCTCCTGACATCTTCAGAACCTACTGTCATCCTCGCTCTGTATCTGGCTCAGGGGTACTCATGAAGAAGAGGGGCTGTTGGATTGAAGAAATGTTTAAAAAGGCCTATAGGTTGTTACCAAGTCCCTGCATATAAGATTTACTCCTCAAGTCTGTCTGTCTGGAGACTCTTAAATTCAATTTATCCTGGGGTTTCAAATCATCTCAGGCTACCAAATTTACCTGAAGTTGACGGTTCAATAATTTACCATGATTATCCATCAGGACTCTTTCAGTTGCAAGTGAAAAAAAAAAAAAGAATTCAATTTCACTTAGCATGAAAGAAAGAAAAGGAAAAGGAAAAGACAGGAGAGAGGGAAAAAATTTTTTGAGATTACATGATATATTTATCAGGATCCTTTTGATGGCAGCTGACCAAAATTCAATGGAAGTTGGTTTAGGCAAAACAACAACAAATAAAACCAAGAAAATTCAGAGACAGAGCTGAATTTGGACAGGGCTGGAGCTACACCCTCACTAAATGTCCCTGTTCAGGCAGGCAGGATTTTCTGCCAAGTTCCTGGATAAATGGTCAGTGGCTCTGATTGGCCTCTTCCGATCATCGGTCTGCCCAGACTTGAACCATTCTCTGTGACTTGGATATTCTCCTTGGCCAAGCGAGGGTCAAAGGACAGCCACTGGAGTTGGCTCCATGCAAACTATGAGGACTTGGGAAGGGAGCGTTCCCCAAAGGAAATTCAAACTCTGTTTCCAGAACAGGGACGAGAAGTTTTTATTAGGCAGGCAACCATGGATCTACTACAGATGGGAAACCTCTCATCTAAGAGGAGAGTCTTTGTGAAGTGTTGAATTCATATGAGAACATGGTGGGTGACCAGAGGGACTCAGAGGAACAAGGAAAATATCTCTGGGCTTCCAGCTCTCTGCACAGTAGGGATTGCTGTGGATTATACCAGGTTCTCTTTCCTCCTTCTGTGGCTCTCCGGAGAAGGGCCTGGGAAGCTTAGCCTTTCTCTTTAGCATCATGTTCCTGATCCTTGAAGAAGGGAGGGTCTCTCACCACCAGCCTATTGTCATCCCACTCAGTTGACAACCCCCCCCCCATGAACATTCTTGGGGCTGGCAAGACTGAGGAGAGGCTCTCTTTGTTGGTTGTGACACTGTCCTTCTTGATCCTCCTATCCGGGGGTGGGGGTGGGTGTCTAAAGAGGAAGAGAGCCAAAGAGGGGCTCAGATGCTTTGAAAAAAGGAAAAGAGAAGAGGAAATTTTAACGTGACCTATTTCAACATCCCATTCTATTGCAGAAGAGCCATAAAATGAGCCTGACTGACGCCCTCTCTTTAGCTTGGTGGGGAGCAGCCTCATTCTGACCGGCGGGACCCTCACGTCACAGCTTAAGAGCCATAAAGCTCCCGTTCACAGTGCTGGTGATTATTTACCTTGGACCCGAGGTCATCAGCCCTATCTGCAGTCAGCAAAACAAACAAACAAACAAATAACAACAGGAAGAAAAAAACACACCACACCAATTTTCTCAAATCTCCCAAGGTTTAAAAAGGAACAAAAAGTTACTGGTGTGTTTGCTGACTGTGGTGATTATGTGGTTCAATCATTTTGATTTACAACTGCATCTTTGTCCTTGTAGAAATAAGTCCCTGCAGCTGAACAACGGGAGATAGAAGTGGATTAACCTTCTAGCATGGGCATATAAGACTTGTTCTAGGGAGCAGGCCTTCATTTGAGGTTAACAAAGTCTCCAGTTCCATGAATACACAAAATTAAAGAGCATTCTCTCCTCCTGCGGCCCCCCCGCCCCCACTTTCCTTTTCTTTTCTTTTGATCTGCCATGGAAAGGGAATTATCGGCAGCGTCTAAGCCTCTGTTTTATTTTTCCCCTTCTGCATTTTGCATCATAAAGCATTCGAATCTGCTTGGCATGTTCCAGGAGCTCTGAAGTAATCTTCGGTTGTTGCATGGAAGTGGACTGCAGGAAAATGAGAGACAGGAGGTCATCCTGCAATGTAAAGTTTATGGGCCGTATTGCAAAGACAAATGGCTTTTTTACTTCCCAGAAAGAAACAGATCTGAGGAGGCTTCTCTTTGCGTGTGAAAGGGCCATAAACCAGGCCAGTGACTCTCAGACCCAGAGGTGGGCATCTGCATCACCCCAAGGGCCTATGAAAACACAGATCGCCAGGCCCACCTCCAGAATTCCTGATTCAGTAGATCTGGAGTGGGCCCGAGAGTTTACATTTCTAGCAAGTACCCAGGGGATGCTGTTGCTGGGGCTGCTGGTCCCGGGACCACACTCTGAGAAGCTGCACACTCCACTGAACTGAATGTACAGAGAAAACCATTCCTCCTTCTCCAGCGGATCAGAGAAATAGACGGTTTCCTACATAGTGATGTTCCCAATACTTCATTATTTCCTCCAAAGTGCGTATGAATCCAGAGGCTGGATGGAGAGCCCCACTGGATTCTGGTCTGGGCCACTGGAATTCTCTCTGCTGTCCGGCTGTAACCTGGTCATCTCTCTCATAAGGATTGTGGGAATAAACTAAGACCAACCTAGTAAGAAGCTAATGCTCTCTCTTCAGAGCTCGCTCTAGCAAGGGGGTCAGCCACCCAGCACCTGGGTTTTGGCAGAGACTCAAAGGCAGGCAGAGGTGTGGGGAGAGCTTCACAGTGAGAAGAAACGAAAGGCGTCAGGTGTGTCCCAGTGGAGGCTGGTGGCCTGCAGAAGCTGGTGGTGGGCGCACTAGGATTGGGCATCCTATGTGATCAGTTAGGGGAGCATGTTTGACCTTCTCTGGTGGGTCCTAAGTGGAAAGCAGGGACAAAAATTAAGGAAGGTGTCCACTATTAATCACATTCTGGCCATTTGGGGCCGATTGTTACTGAGGTTATTTATTGTTTGTCTTCCTGGATTGTTGCGGAGACGGGAGTCTGACTTCCTACAAGACTGACTGACTTACAGCAGGCTGGCTTCCTGAGCTAGTGATGGTACATAATGGGTCGGTCTCCTGGGCACCAGGAGGGTTACAGTTGTGGGTCAGAGTTCTACTTTTATATATGGTCTGGCCACTGTCTGTTCACACATTCAGTCTCTCTGGATACACAGTAGATACTCGCTTTTTAGCACTTGCTAAATTCTTGGCATACCTCACGTTGGCCGATGTCCATTAAATAATGACCGATTTTTAAGACATGCCCACTTGTGTGGAAAGTATTACTTGAGGCACGCGGAGTTTTATAAGACACGGGCACCGATGTCCCTGAGAAGCAGCCTAAGTCACGTGGGCATCAAGGAGAAAGAAAGGTCAGGGTGTGTGTTGCTTAGACTCTTCCACCACATTTACTGTAGAGGGAGGTGGAAGAGGGAGTCCAGGGTCCCTCTCCTCTCCCGGCTCAGGGCACTTGGCCCCAGAGGAGAGCTCAGCTTTGTACCTTCCTTCACATCAGGAGTTGGCATTTTTCCCTGGGGGGTCAGATCCCCGGGCCTCCCCCGTCCAAATTCTTGTTGCTCCCCATAAACCCGGGGCTTCTCTGCTGCAGGTGGATGGGCTGAAAGCCAAGCTGGCCGCCCAGGAAGGGGAGCTGAGGCAGAAGAATGAAGACGCGGACAAGCTGATTCAGGTGGTTGGCATAGAGACGGACAAGGTGAGCAGAGAGAAGGCCATGGCGGACGAGGAGGAGCGGAGGGTGGCCCTCATCATGCTCGAGGTGAAGCAAAAGCAGAAGGACTGTGAGGAGGACCTGGCCAAGGCGGAGCCGGCGCTCACGGCAGCCCAGGTGGCTCTCAACACCCTCAATAAGGTAGGAGGATGGTCTGTCCCATCTGCTTACCCCTCCCCGCCCAGGGGTGGGGGGGAGGGGAGCGGCTCCAGTGACCCAGACAGCGCGCTACCCTGGTGTCCCAAAGAGATCCAAGGGCAAAGTTGGAGGGTTTAGGGATCCAGCTGTCACTGGCTTATTCATTCAGCAAACACTCATTTATTTTATTTTTTAAAGAATTTTTCTGTATTATTTATTTGAGAGACAGAGAACAAGCATGAACAGGGGGGAGGGGCAGAGGGAAAAGCAGACTCCCCACTGAGCAGGGAGCCCGATACGGGGCTCGATCCCAGGACCCCAGGATCATGACCTGAGCTGAAGGCAGACACTTAACGACTGAGCCACCCAGGCGCCCCCAAACATTCATTGAAACTGACGACATACCGACCGATGCAATCCCAGGGATGTGAGTCTTAGAACCAACCAGAACAGGAGATGCCGACTAGTCCGGACCCTCCACTCCACAGAGAACAAAGCAAGGACCCTGAGAGGAGAACTGACTTGCCCAGAGTCACTCCGTATTAGGGCCAGACTTCAACTCACACCCTCAGAATCCAAGTCCAGAGACCTCCCAGCTGTGTACCCCATGGTCATTTCACCCATTACAAGCGACAGGACACATGAGCCTTATAAAGCCCTGAGAAAATACTTAAGATAGGAGACGAAAACACATGTTAGCTCCAAAATATGAAAAAAAAAAAAAAACCTAGGTAATCAAAATTAGCAAATATTCAAACGCCAACAACACGTAACTGTGTGTCCATTAAATTCAACTCCTATACGTAACCATTTGGTAGACGAAGCGTGACTTCTGAGATGTATTCACGAGGTACTTTTATTTAGGTTCCCTGGAGATGTACTCCATGTATGTGTGTCCTGGAGCGGGGGTGGTCAGCTACTTCTTCCTTCTATTTTTCACCATTAAGCTGCTTTCCCATTTGGATAACCGTGGCTGAGAGGCAAGGGCAGAAAGGAAGAGCAGGGGGCAGACAGACTCTGGTCATGAGCAGCAGATGTCAGAGGGGGACCGAAAGCTTACCCTTTCTCTGTTGGGATGCTCACGTGGAGATCCTCCGCCCAGTTATCGGGGTCTCCCCCCTGCAGGGTGCTTTCTCTTCCATTCACTTGGACCCCTTGGCTCATGCTGGTTCTGCCAACACATCCCCCCTTGAAGGCAGAGCAGGGGGGACTCAGGAGCAGGTCTCACGAAAAATTCTCTCTGCCTCTGCTTTGACACCCTCAGGGCAGGTGAGGCATTTGAGAGGCAGACACACCGGCCTTCTGAAACCTCCATCTCCCGCCTCACTTTGGCATCTGGCGGTTTCAGGCCTGGGCAAATCTAAAAAGGAATTAGGAACGCTGTAGAATCCTGTGACATATAATTCCATGTAAATTGTAATTTGAGAGATAAGTGCATTCTAGGATTTTTTACGAAGGATTCTAGGATTATGCATTCCAGGATTTTTTATTTTTTATGCCCTAAAGGTTAAGGCCTCGAAGGCCCTAAACAGACCCCCACCCTATATCAGGAGAAAACACCAGAGTCTCTACTGGGAACCTGGGTACCGTGGGGGTGGACCAGGAATTGGAGGGGTAGCCCAGTTACGCTCCCACTTCTCAGCCTGAACTTGGTAGCTTCTCCCAGCCCCTCACAGCGGCACCCACTTCCATCTGCAGGCCTCTGATGAGCCTGAACCCCTCCCCGCTGCCACCTCTCCTCCTGCCCCCATCCTACCCATATTTCAAGCTCAGACTTACAATTCTAGATCCGTCTTGCCCTTTTCTGATTCCCCCAGCACGAACCACGAGACGACTTCTTTGACGCACACACGTGAAGTGTTTGCTGATCGTGTCCTGCTAATAAGGCAGATCTTTCATAAGATCTTTTGACACAGGGGTTACATTTCCTAAAATGAGCTGAGACCAAATCCTGGCTGTGCTTTTCCCTGGGTATGGCTCTGGCTATGATTTTCTCTCCACTCAGCCTGTTTCCTCGTCTGTGCAAGGGAGGTAATAGTAACGTGGTCCCCGGTAGGTTGTCACAAGGATGAAATGAGATCATGTATGAAAAGAAACTAACAGATGGTAGCCACCCACCTGAGTGACCTTTTTTTTTAAGATTTTATTTATTTATTTGAGAGAAAGAGCAGAGGGAGAGAGAGAAGCAGACTCGCATTAAGCACAGAGCCTGACTCGGGGCTCGATCCCACGACCCCGAGATCATGGCCTGAGCCGAAATCAAGAGTCAGAGGCTTAACCAGCTGAGCCACCCAGGTGCTGAGTAATCAAACAGCAGTTTGACCACATCATCCCTCTGTTCCAGAATCTTCCACTGGCTTCCCATCATACTCAGAATAAAATCCACAGTGGCCCACGAGACCCTACCATTGTTCCCCTCCTCTGCTACACCAGTGACTAGTCTTCCTCTTGTCACTCCAACCCCCCACACTGGCCTTGCTGTGTCTCAGACACCCCCAGCACAATCCCACCCAAGGCCTCTGAACGAGCAGTCAGCTCACTGGGAAGTCCTCTTCCCCCAAACCCCCCTGCATCCTGGTTCCCTCTGTCGGGTGTTTGTCCAAAAGTTACTTCCGCAGGAAATAAGTAATAAAAGCACTTGTTAATTTCATTAAAAAAAAAAAAAACTCAGGATATACTAGAAAGAAAATATAACCCAAGGTGAACAATATTTATAATCATGTCATATTCATTCTGAACATTAACTAAAAATTTGATATAACCATAATAATTAGGAGGGAAAGGAGGGCAGTAAAAATAGCTAAATATTCACACTCTAAGTAGGAAGTCACTTGCTAACATCTAAAATGAAAAATAGGGGCGCCTGGGTGGCTCAGTCAGTTAAGCATCCGACTCTTGATTTCGGCTCAAGTCATGATCTCAGGGGCCTGAGATCAAGCTCCATGCTCAGCAGGGACTGCTTGGGGTTCTCTCCTTCTCCTTCTCTCTCTGCCCCTCCCCCCTGCTCACGCGCACACACTTGCGCCTGCGCTCTCTCGCTCTCGAATGAATGAATGAATGAATAATGAAACAGCAGCATCGGCATATTCCTTATCAATAAGGAGTAAATTCTAGAAGAAACAGAAAAAATTGTAAGCCATGACTTCTACAGAGCTGAAGTCAGAGTCTACCAGGCATGGGTTTCGTTCTAAGCCTTATGGCCCTATTAGAGTTTGCAAACTCTGTGCATGTATTACACAAAACAGAAAGAAGCTACAATTTCAGTGGCTCAAGAGCACAGAAGAGGACATGGCTAACTGGCTGGCCGGGTAGGAACTAGGGAAGAGAATGCCCATGAAGCAAGGATGATAAGGAAGAGCATTTTCCTGGATGGGGCAGGGGTGGAGAAAACCATCTCAGAAAGGAGCGATGTTTGCAGAGACACAGATGCGTGGGGAGGGGGGTGTGGAGTGTGTGAGCCATGGTGCACAAGTGGGCGCCTCAGGAAGTGAGGTGATGATGAGTCTCTGAAGGTGGGTTGGCCAAGATCATTAGCAGCCCACGGCATCACTAAGAAGTTGAACTGTGTGGGCGCCTGGGTGGCTCAGTTGGTTAAGCAACTGCCTTCGGCTCAGGTCATGATCCTGGAGTCCCGGGATCGAGTCCCGCATCAGGCTACCTGCTCAGCAGGGAGTCTGCTTCTCCCTCTCCCGCTCCCCCCTCTTGTGCTCTTTCTCTCTCTCACTCTCTCTCTCAAATAAATAAATAAAATCTTT